AGAAAGAAAGAAAGAAAGAAAGAAAGAAAGAAAGAAAGAAAGAAAGAAAGAAAGAAAGAAAGAAAGAAAGAAAGAAAGAAAGAGGGAGGGAGGGAGGAAGCAAAAGGGAAAGGAGAAGGGGGAAGTGGAAAGGGAGGAAAAGAAGGAAGGAAGGAATTCAGAATTTCCAAATTGCACTTCTCAAGACAGAAGAAGCCTCTAAAATGAAATAAAAGATAGTTAGGTATAGTCACTGTAGTGGATCACAGAGATGGGCTGGAAGAAGGTATGGGCAGCCTTTGGGAAAACAGACCCCCAAAACAGAAAAGGGTGAGAAAGAAACTCAAGACGGCCCCACCTTAACTTTCTTCAGCATAAGAAAAAGGGAAAGAGACACTCTGCCCATCTTTTAAAGATTTAATTATATGTACATCAATAAATTTAGAGTGCTGGTATTTCTAGCGGTGTCTTTTTCCTAACCTGGTCTATTTTTAAGGGCTGATACTAGAAGATTGCAGACAAAATCTCACATAATAATGTTTGTTATACATATTTGAGGGAAGCCTGGGTAACAATAGGTGATATTTTTTTATCACAAACTTTTTCTCGAATGCCTTTGTATGTCCCAAAGCTGTCAAAGGAAACCATGCTGAACTGAGAATTTGGGGCTTTATAATTCTTTGACACCTGGAAGGAATGGAAAAGAGGAAAGCTTCAAGTGAAGATGTTTTTCCTGAGCTTGTCCTGAATCTGTCCTTTAATAAATCCCATAATACTCTTTGAGTCTGTGTACAATATTTCACTTGATGTCTGTCCATTTTTTTTTTACTGTGAGCACACATTAAAAATGAAATTCTATTGCCTGCTCTCAAGAGAAAGTGTATATCTACCCAAACACATACACAATACACATATACATTCATAAACACACACACACGTATGTATGTATGTATGTATGTATGTATGTATGTATGTATGTATGTATCTATCACTGTCCATTTTGAAATACGTAGTGGAAAGAAGTAACCTGAGAGAGTTCATAAGAGGTTGATGCTCTTATGGAGCAAAACTGTGACTGAATCTGGATATTCTGCTTCGGATACCACAGAGCCCCCTTCCAGAAGATAACAAGGAAAATTGATGAATTAATTAATTATTTAATTGGCCGCTCATCTTATCACAGGGTAACTCTGAGTGGCTTACTCTTACATAAAAGCTAACACGTAAAACGTTAAAATCCAACATTAATACCAAAAATGCACGTGGGGGAGGGCAGGGGCATGAGGGGGGAGGTAGGATCAGTTATTACTGAATCAACTCCCTCCATTGCTCTGATCCCCCACTGGGGTCCCAAGTCAACTGGCACAGCCAAGTCTTCAGGCCCTTCTGAAAAGTTGGGAGTGTTGGGCTAACCTCAGATTGGGGGTGGGTGGGGACAAGAGGTTCCAGAGGGCTGGGGCCACAGCAGAGAAGGCCCTGCTGCTGAACTCCACCAGCTGGAATAATCAGGTTGACAGGACCCTCAGCAGGTCCCCTCCTCTGCCAGCAAGAGTGGGGGAGATGGTCCCTGAAGTAACCTGAACCCATAGACCATGAACTAGATCTGAAGGGTGGGCTCCAGTGCAGGTTACCTACCAAAAGGAATCTTCTAAAACTTTAGAGCAATCAAGTGAAACTTTGATATTTTGAATACTTGGATCATCCTATGCATGGTGACACCAGAACTGAATAAGTCTAACGTTGCTTCTGCATCAAGATTACTACTTTCTTACATGGATCTACCTTGAGGAAAAGATACTTTTATTACATTTATGTGTGCAGTCAGACATACGTTTCATTCTAAAAAAAGAACATAATGGAAAAGCAGGCTCGTGTGTCACCTTGTTTGACAATAATTATTAAAGTTAATGATTAGACTAGAGGAAAACCATGCCAAACTAAAAAGCAACAGCCGGAATAACAATGTAATAAAATAATCAGATGTTCTTTACCGTTGTTGTCCCAATAATCCTTGCAAACAGAGCAAAGGGCAGTGTTAAAAATAAACCACAAAGAACATGAAACAGTTATTTGCAAAAGAAAAAGCTCTGACATTCAAGCAATATATAGAATTTATAGAATCGCACACAGCAAGGATAAATTGAGGTTGATCTGCAACACATCACACAGACAAGGATGTACATATGGGTGTGTGTAAGAGAGAGAGATGATGAAAGCACAATGTTCCTGGGGAATTGTTACAATAGGAAGAATGGTGACAACAGAATATTTTTCAGCTTCATTTGACATATGACAAGTTGCCTATGATCTATGAATAACTGAAATAAGTTTTTTAAAAAATCCCAGAGGAGCCTATAGGCAAACACACTTTGATAGGTCCCTAAGGCGCTTTTTTTCAAAAGGCAACAGGACTTTCTTTGTTTTTCCTTGAAGATGTTCATATCCAAGAAGCTTCTTCTCATCCAAGAAGTCTAATTCTCCAGAAGTGGAATGTCTTCAAAGAAAAATAGAAAGTCCAGTTGCCTCTTGAAAAAGCACCTTTGGGACAACTCTGACCTGGATGGCTGAAGACTCTCCATTATCAAGCCAAATCAAATCTGTATTTCATTGGTCTGAACTTTCCATGTTGGGGAGCAATCACCACAAAGGCGCTTTTCAAATAAACTACAAACCCAACACAAATGTTAACATTCAACCACGGTGGAATCCCCTCAGTGAAGTCACAGCCCCAGTTTTGAGTGTCACCTACAGAATGTGGATTCTTCTTCTGCAAATGCAATTTTCATTTTTATGTTAGAAAACTGATTTTTTTTGGGGGGGGGGGGGTCACTGAATCCTAAACTATAATTAATCAGTGACCCATTTCAAAAAATATTTTAGCGATGTATGAAGATTCTATCTTTGATGTTTCAAAGAGTTGGCCCTTGATTTTCTTTTAAAGAGGATTTTCTTGACTGTAAATTGTACTTCATATTTAGACCCTTATTTAAAAACTAAAAAAATACCGGGCCACCCAGGCGAAACAATCTTACATTTCATGGAACAAGCCTGCACATCACCAGTAAGATTTTCAAGGGGACATATCAGATTGGGGTTAACTGTAGGGTGGATGATTTATTGCAAAATTTGGTTCTCTATGTGCCTATTTGCATTTTTGAATTAGCTTTACCTATTTGATACAATCAATGGACTTGAACAAGTTTTCTTCCTCTTTCAAAGGGACATAACTTTTGCCATCAATTCGGCATATAATGATTCAGAGGAATGTCCCTCTTGTAACTCTTTTATTTTTATTTATTCTGTTTTCTTTGAACCTACTTGAATTTTTGAATCAGTTCTGTAAGTCTGATACAATCCATTTGACTTAATCAATCAAGGTCTCTTCTTCTTTTAAAGGGACATGTAACTTGACTTTTTGCCGTCAATTCAGTGTATACAATGACTCGGAAGAATGTCCCTCTTGCAGTTCTTTTTCCTCCCTGGAAGCATAATTTAGAGGAGGAAGGAAGAAGAGCCTGCTCGGATTATGACCAAACCCTTTGGAAGGACTTAAGGGTGAGACGCAATGGAACCTGGACATTCAGAGAAAGGCCACATTGTCCTGGCAAACATCACCTCTGGCAAGCAATAAAGACAGAAGAAGGGACGGGGGAGAAAAGAAAGGAAGACATACTTGGATCTGACAAGATGGAGTCGGTTTTCGGCAAAAATTGGTCACAGCGGACTCCTTGGTAGCCTTCTTTGCACCTGAGGAAAATGGAAGAAATGACAAACATACGCAGGCGGTAATAACAAGCTACAATTTCAAAGCATCATTTGAATGGAAATCTTGTTCATAATGCACACAATGTTCATAATTGCGCATAATGTTCACCCACAATCTCCAGAAGTCGCAGGTGCTCCCACCCTGGAGGTTTTTAAGAAGAAATTGGACAACCATTTGTCTGAAATGGGATGGCGTTTCCTCCTTCAGCAGGAGGTTGGACAAAAGGCCTCCAAGCTCTCTTCCAGCTCTTGTTATCCTCTTGTTGTGTTATGTGTCAAGGGAGTCCATCCATTCATAGCTAACTGGGGACTCAAGGACAGTGTCAGCCTTGGAAGCCATATTTCATTTGGAAGCTTTGAGGCTGCCACATTTAGTGCTTGGGAATTTGGGAGGGGGGATTTCTTAGTGAGTAGATGATTAGGCTCAACAACATTCTTTCTGAGAGAGTCAAGGACATGTTGCCCTGCACCTGGAGGGTAGTGTCTGGAGGAAGGTCTCCAGTTGGGACGAAGATCTGATTGGGCCATGATGTGATGGACTGATGGGTGCAGGGGATGGATCTTTGAATTTCTCTTGGGGAAGGGAAAACCTGGAACTCTCAGATTCAAGTTTTTCCAGATGTGTCAATATGACTTCTCTAATAAATTCTTACTTGGATGAACTTTGTCTCTGAGTGCTGAATGAGTACGGGGAGTTTCGTTGGAACACTGACATGCAGCTATTTCTCAATGTTCTATTCCACTAACAGTTTCAGATGAACCAAATGTATTCTTCTAGGGTGCAGACAGTTCAAGTTATTATTATTTGGCTACTTTAATTATACCTGGGACCTACACCTAGTTTTACTCATGTGACCAACAATATAGGGCTTCATTCAGTGGAGTGGATAGACAGGTGGGTTTGGCCTGCAGAAGGGCCCCCATACAATCAGTTGGAAGAAGTGTGGAAGTGGTTCTTGGGCTAGTGAGCATGCCTTCGAAAAGCAGCCGTATACCGCTCCTAACAACGAGAGCAATCAACCAATGGAACAACTTGCCTTCAGAAGTTGTGGGTGCTCCATTTACTGGAGGCTTTCAAAACTGGACAACCATTCATCTGAAATGGTATAGGGTCTCCTGCTTGAGAAAGGGGTTGGACTAGAGGACCTCTGAGGTCCCTTCTGACTCTGTTGTTCTGTGTTATTCTTATGCATCTAGAAATAATCTTTTGCAAGTTTATATTGCAGGGGAAAAGACAATACGTATGGGATATTTGTATTCCAGGGAAATTTCTTTGCTACATCTCATATCTTCTGGTATAAATGCTAGTTTTTTTGTTTTAAAAAACAAACAAACCTTTCTGTAACCCATCAAGTTTTCTCAGAATAAAATAATGTGTTGGGGGATTACGTAACAAAGCCATCAATGACATTGCCGTATTCAGACATTTTTTCAATCTGACCTTTTTGATAAGATGATCTATAAAAACAAGCAACGGATTTCCAGTGTTATTCTTTGGTAAACATGGAGCGAGAGTCACCTCTCAGTACCATTGAGCAATTTTTTTTAATGAGCAGGGATATAAATCAGCATTCAGTGCAGTCCTTATCGATGCTGGTAATTAAGGGCAGAGGAATTCAGAATTTGTCAATTCATGAGTAATCAACTACTGCAGTTGGTCTATATCAGGGAATTTTCAAATTGGGTTGAAAAATGATGAATCCTAAACGTTCCCTTCTTTTCCCTATGTCACTTTCACTTTCTATTTCATAATATAGACGAAGTCATCTCCCTCTGACAATCTCTCTCCTACCAACCAAACCAAGATAATTTTGTGAAAATTATAGGAAACGAAGTCCAATCAGAGGTTACTCCAGAGGTTACTGCTATTACTTGAATTTTATCTGGGCACAACTTTGATTAATTAATCTATGGACATGTTATAACCATCACCTTAGCTTAGATAAATAGAAAGGGACATTTGGCAATTGGAAAACTGAAGGCATGGAACTTCACATCTGCATATAATATCCAGAGAATCAAAAGTAAGACATAAATACATATACAAGAAATAAATCTGTATTCAAGGTGAAGTAGGGAAGGGAAGAAGGCTGTAGTTTAACCATCCATTTGGCAATACACAATGTTTATGACAGACATGACATAAGCCCAGAGCACAGGCAGTGTTGATTTTTTGCTAAGACCTGAATGTCTAAAGAGTCTGAAGGTAACTTTTGGGAAAGATGTAATGCATACTACACATAGCTCCTGCCATAAAATTAGCAACGGTATTCAAAAGTCAGTTCAGGGTAGAATGCAACTGGCATTCTCTTATTCCTGCTACAGCTGCTGTTTTACTTTGTTGTTTAAAGATGCCCAGTGCAATGCAAAATATATTTTTTGGAAAAAAACAACTGCTTTGCCTAACAACAATAGAATAAAATGTAGCGTTTCCCACCAAGTTGTCAAAGAATGCTTCATGGCACAATGCTATCTCTAAAATATATCACAATGAATGCAATCAGGCTTTTCTTTTAATTAGCAATGTCTGCCCCTCTCTCTCTGTCTCTCTGTCTCTGTCTGTCTGTCTCTCTCTTTCCATAGGTAGATTACTTCCCATCTATATTATTGGTGCAATTTAATAATGAGAAATTATTTGTATTATCCAATGAATTAGAAGTCATCCGTTTCAATTTACTGCTGTGATTGGATCCAATTCAGACAATTGTTCGATTTAGACATTCAGTTAATTGCCTTCAAATGTTTGAGTTGAAGCTTCGCTGAACTTTAACCATGAATGGTGGGCCAGTAAGAAGCACAAGGTAACCAAGAACAGTAACAGAGAAGCCTGAATCAAAATACAGCTATTTCAGTCTGTTGCAGATCAAGACTTGTTTAGAGCTCCTATGTGCTCTGAATTTTTTTAAAATATTAAATATGAAGGTTGTATTTATTTACATACACTTAGTAAATAAATACAACCAAAATGGAGTATTTTTGGTTTTGAGTCATACATATCCAGATGCCACCCTCATGGTGATACTCTTGACAAAGATAAGAACTCTGCATTCTCTGAATAGAAATGAGACATTTCACACTTCTGCTGAGTGAGCATTCCCATGACCAACCCTCTCCAAGAAATAAGTAATCCTGCTTGAAAAATCCAAATGCAGCAACAATTAGCTTTCCCTTGGCATAGATTATAAGGGTTGTTGATTCACCATGTGTCCAAATGTAGCAATAACTGGTGTTCCCCCCACCCACAAAGTGAGTTGACAAAAAATGGTTCTATCCCTTCTTTTACCCTAGCTCAAAAATGGACCGCTCATAGCTCTTGATTCATAGAGAAGCAAATATTGAGTTTCTTTTCTTTTCTCTCTTTATGTTTTTGCTTTCATGTAAAATGCATCCCAGGGAGCACAAATGCCATCCACTCTCTAGAAGGGGAATTTGTGAATAACAAAAATAGCTCCCGTGGGCTATTTCCTCATGGTTCATTTTGTCATATTCAACAAACCTAACAGATTAGGAGCAAGGACTGCATTAACCTTGTGGGACAATTTGGTATCTACACAAGAGTAAACCTACACAATTACCTTAAGCCTGTCTGCCCATTTTTCAGTATTATCCAGATCACCATTACTGCTACTGCTTCATTGTTATAGTTGTTATTGTTATTTCAGTCAGAATAATTCAATTATTCTCCCCCTAAATCTATTGGAGAATGTTAGCATTAAGTGTTATTGAAACATAGAGATACAGAAACTTGATACAGATGCATAAATTGCTTTACCACTGACAAACTAGAAGGTCATAAATATGCAGAAGATCTGCCTATAGTATCTATGGAGATTCTCAGTTCTCCAGGTCATGGTTGTCCCAAAAGTGCTTTTTTTTCAAGAGGCAAGTGGACTTTCTTTGTTCTTCCTTGAAGACGTTACTCTTCTCATCCAAGAAGCTTCTTCAGTTCTGACTGGATGGTGGAGAATGGAAGGATTTATATCCTGAGAGTCGTTGAGGCCATTTGGAGGTTTATCTGTGCCTTCAGAGTCAACTGAATAGTGTAAATGGATATGGAGCCTTCTTTGAACTCCTGAAAGGATTGTACTGTAAGTAGGAGATACAACACAGTCCTTTCAGTGGTTTATTATCATCATCACCGACATCATCATCATCATCAATCATCACCATCATCATTGTTGGAAGGGACCTTGGAGGTTTTCTAGTCCAATCTCCTGCTCAAGTAAGAGACCCTATATCATTTCAGGCAAATGGCTGTCCAGTGTCTTCTTGAAAACCTCCAGTGATGGAACACTCACAATTTCTGAACACAAGCTGTTGCACTGGTTGATTGTTCTCACTCTCAGGAAATTCCTCCTTAGTTCTAGGTTGCTTCTTTGCTTGGTTAATTTTTATGGAATAAATTTATTAATTATGGAATAATTAATATGGACTTATGGAATGAAACTATCCCTACCATTGAGAGTGCTGCATGTTTAAAGAAGAACAGAGATAACAAATTGCAAAATGTTCTACCAACCACTATTTTGTAGGCAAAGAGTCATCCCATAATGCCAGGCTAGAATAAGCTGTGGCCTGGTTTAATTCATGCAGGCTTCCCTTCTTATAACCATGGAAGAGAAACATCTGTCTGCTGTGAACATGAAGGGGAGAATGTAGTGCATCAGAATTGCTCAGCTTCTCCATATGGTGGGCGGTTCATAGGACCACGTTTCCATATGGCCAAGGTTTTAATTGATGAGGAGCTCTCCATCTAAGAAAATGAAGGGACAGGCTTCATCTGCTGCAGCTCCACTTTGAATGGACACAAAGGACTATTCTAATAAGCCAATCTACCTTCTTGCAATCCAGCCAGGAAGACTGTCCTCTCGTGAAGCATATTTCTACAAGTTTAATGGCAGAGCAGAGAACATAAAAGGACTAAACAAGAATAATTATTAATTAATTTGAGGCGCATAGTGAAGGACAATCTGCTCAATTAG